AACATGTCCTTATTAGTCATTTAATATTAAATAACAACCGCTAACTATTGTATAACCAAACAGTTATATTTATCGAATCCGTTATTTACCATCCGCTACCCACATTCCGTTATCCGCTACCCGCTATCCGCTAACCGCCACCCGCTACTCGCTACCGCTATCCGCTATTCGCTACCCGCTATCCGCTGAATTTTAACAGCTGTACCAAACAGGCCCTAAATTATTAGTGCATTAAGAAAAACAACTAATTTTAATCTTTAAGAATTATTTACACTGTACTGGAAATTTGAAGTTATCTTTTATTGTTTTTGGTGCCTCTAGTGATGTAACCAAGAAGAATTTTTAGATCTTTTCAATTTTTACAAATGTAAAGGAGTATAAGAACTCGTTTATAATTTGTACTTTTTATTATGTTTTTACTGATTTGCATGTTAATATGTTTTATGGTTATGTTTTCTATTTGGTGTTAAAATATTTTTACATTATCTTATATATTTAATAATGTTAAAAACCAATCAATCCAACCAAACCACACCGATCTGATTTAAGTTGGATTGGTTTGGTTATCATATAATAGTGGATTAGATTGGTTTAAAAATTTTATTAACCAATTAAATTGGATTGATTTAAAATATATTAAAATTCGAATCAAACCACATCGCGAACACTCCTAATTTTTTCTATATAAATAACATGTGTTAAGTTCACCATAAAAACATGGTTAAATTCCCCAAATAGTCCAGTTTAGGGCTTATTTATTTTAATAAAAGTTGAGGGGCTTAATTGAAAATCTAAAATAAGTTTGGGGGCTTCATATAGGGTTTTGCCACAGCAATATTACCTTTGAACTCAACTGGGCTGCCCTTAATTTGTGTTGGCATTAAATTTTCAGTGACAAGCGAAGTGTTTTTTCTCCTTTGCTGAATAGGTCGAGGTAAACTTGTTTATCCTGTTTGTTTAGACATTGGTTTACCAAATAGCAAAAGTCTTCTACGGAGCCTAATGCACGTCTATTTCTTGATAACATGTACAACGCCCGGCTTTTACCAAGTTCTTAAGTGAGTTCTATAAAGGGAAGAAATCAAGTTCAACAATCCAGCAACACTAGCCAATCAATCACGGGATCAGAGCAACATCGCAGCAATCACATCTTCAGTAAATCAGCTTCAATGCTCTGTGTCTAGTTCATCAATTGTAAATGTTTAGTTTCCTTGTTTGCTGTCAGTAGGCTTGTGTACAGATATTGTTGATACCGTGAATAATATTCAATCGATTCATCTTCAACCTCTTGTCCCTATTCCAAACCATAACGCTTTCTGTTGCTGTTGGCAGTGTAATAGCTTAGTTTATTTACCAAAACAATTACCGCAATAGGACTTGCATTTACAAATAAGATCACCAATTGACTAATGATCATGCTATTTTGATCTCTGTTTTCTGAAATCTCACAGTTAGGTAGCTGTCTTTACGTTCTGGAGAGGATTTGGGTTTAAAAACAAAAGGAATGAAAAATGGGACAGTTTGCTTGATGACTGTTAAATCCAAGCATGCACACATGATAAGTTATCCCTGTGGAGAAGAATGGTTTAAGGTTGCTCAAGTTTTTATTGTTTCTTGTTGTGGCTGCATTTCCTTTCCACTCAATAGAAAGGAGACAGCATTTGCTAGCTAAAGTTGAAAGGTAATACATAGATGAATACCTAAAATTCACTTGGCCAGAGAAGCCAGGTTAGGAAGATTTTTTGGTACCTGAACAATCAGTTGATAGATTAAATAAAGTGATTTGCTTACTTGTACAACAGTTATAGTAAAATGGCTGATGAGGAATTCAGAAGATATTAGACATATAACCTGCGTGGATGGAACGTTCTTTGCC